TTTTGAGACAGAGTCTCACTCTGTCACCCAGGCTGGAGTGCAGTGGTGCGATCTTGGCTCACTGCAACCTCTACCGCCCGGGTTCAAGCGATTATCCTGCCTCAGCCTCGCCAGTAGCCAGGATTACAGGCGCCTGCCACCGCACCTGGCTAATTTTTGTAGTTTTAGTAGAGACGGGGTTTCACCATCTCGGCCAGGCTGGTCTAGAACTCCTTGACCTTGTGATCCACCTGCCTCGGCCTCCCAAAGTACTGGGATTATAGGCATGAACCACCACACCTGGCCTAATTTTGACTTTTAGAAGAATGCTAATGTTCTATATATTCAAAAATTAAATTAAATCAATAGAAATGAGAAAGAAAAAACCAACATGCAAATAGAAAAAATAAACCCAGCTGTGTTTCGTATAGAATAATATATCCACACGAAAAGGGGAGGGGTACAAGCTAACTGTAGACCCTCAGCCTGCGGGGAGTAAAGGTCCCTTGAACTATTTGTATTAATTTGTTTTCCATAGAGATATGAAGGTAGTCATTCTGAAACTGCTATTTTATATATACTATAGGATTGAGTAAAATGAGTAAATATTGTTGGGAGCCAGAGCTCTTTGGAAGAAAGGAGGCATAAACAGAATCCAGGAAGGCAAGGTAAAGCCCTATTGAGCAAGATCAAAATAAGAAGTTACCAGTGGGCTGGGCAAGGTGGCTCACATCTGTAATCCCAGCACTTTGAGAGGCAGAAGCGAGAGGATCACTCAAGTGCAGAAGTTCAAGACATTCCCTGGCAACATAGTGAGACACACCCTCTCCTACAAAAAATGAAAGAACTAGCCAGGCGTGGTGGTGTGTCCCTGTAGTCCCAGCTACTTGGGAGTCTGACGTGGGAGGATCACTTGAGTCCAGGAGGTCCAGGTTGCAGTAAGCCCTGATCATGCCACTGCACTCCAGCCTGGGTGACAGAGTGAGACCTTGTCTCCAAAAGAAAAATAAATAAATAAGTTACCAGCATAACATATAATTTGTTTCTCCTAGCTCTGTCCACTGAATGAGCCCAAAAGCAATGAGCACCCTAGTAGCAATGAGCACACTTAGTGCCCAGATCTTAATTTCTTTTTTTTTTTTTTT